CGTATTCATTAAATGTACCTATATTTAAGTTCTAGGCAAACGCAGGACGACTTGCAGCATTGCATCACTATTAAAAAAGATGTCTGCAGTTTGTCATGGACTAGGATGGTTGAGTTTATTGGAAGCGACCTTCCTTCAGAGGAATAGCAGAGACGAAAAATATGATATATATATATATATATATATATATATATATATATATATATATATATATATAATACGTATTTCAATATTATCGGTTTACGTGTAACTATAGGTAAGACAGTCAATATAAAATTGAGTCGACATTAAACTTGTTTTAGTTATCATAACTATTTTAATTAATATACCCAAACCAAGCATATTTTTTACACTATTAAAACAAATAAAGAATGATCAAAAGCTTTCCCCAAAGTCAATTACTGTCGAGATGTACTTGTCGTACCCACTCATATTTGTAATCATTTAACTTTAACTACAGCGTTATATCAATCCTTCTAGAATTGCTTGGAAGTTTCAAAAAGCCATTAAAATGCCAGCCATGCTAGCTGCTTGATATTTTATATTAATTATAGGTTTAATTTATAAATTAAAGCTATAATTAATATAAAGAGCGAAGCCGCGGGTTCTGCTAGTGAATATTATAATATTCACTAGCAGAACCCGCGGCTTCGCTCACACTAAAACTACAAAATAATCTCTAAAAAGGTTTTCATACAAACTTTCATCCTCTATTTCACCCCCCCCCTCCCCTCCCTCCCCCTTATAGGATGAATTTCGAAAAATGCTAAAATATATTTTTAATTAATTTTATTGAAGAGCATTAATACCAAGTTTCAAGTAATTCTGAATATAATTTTTTTTATTGTATTATGAGGTGTTGTACCGTGAGAATTAAATAATCTCCCGCGGTAAAAAGTAGCCTGTGTCACTCTCCAGCCCTCCAACTATCTCCACACAAATAATTACGCCAATCCGTCACTCCGTTTCGACGTGACAGAAGGGCAAACAAACAAACACACTTTCACATTTATAATATTAGTATGGATTACCGTACAAAGTTTTATGAAAATATTTTCAAATCTTCTTTCGTATAGGGAACTGCAGCATATTTGGAATACTGCAGGTAACTTGGTAAACTCAGATATCTAAATTAATATAAATGGCATTTGTGTGTGTGCTTTTTTGCTGTAAGCATAACGTCAAATAATATGCAAAGTCAATGACCTTAGAGATGAAAATTGTATACCTACGTACAGTTCAGAGCGTTATATGAATTACAAGTAAACAAAGTCACGTGACCAAAATTTAAAACTTCCTATACTTTTTACGAATATTATAATTTCAAAGGTTTGTATATTTTAGTAGGCATATAAGGTGAAGTCTATGTTTGGGTAGCAGGTAAGACCTACTGGTATTTTATATAATGATCTATATATATATATATATATATATATATATATATATATATATGAATGATGATAATCAGTTATCAGGTCAATAATTCGCCTCATGCCAACATAGACCGTGTAACCTCTTGCCTCTCTGAGATTTCCAACCAAATGACGGTGGACTCCAACAATATTTTTCATAATCGCAATTTATGGGCATTCAATTTCAAATTGGTAAGTTTTAATTGGACTTCGAGATAAAATCTGATAGCATAACTTTTAATTAAATAATTTTCATATTCAAGTGGCCAACGTTTACGGTACAGCTTTCAACACAAGCGTCTACAATTTCTCCGCTATGTTTTTCACAACCAATGAAATAAAAAATAAATGTACCCAAACAGGCTTGTAACTTACTTTTTTACAACATAAAAGTATAAATTAAATTAATATTATTTGATTTCAGCGACTATTAACGATTTTTTTTTACTTTAGCCTACTTGTTTATAGCTAGGCCGTCAGACGTCCTGTGCAAATTTTAAAATACATATTTGTGAGGTACTTGAGTTTTTTACAAAAATCCTATAGGAAAAAGTACTTTCAGTATCTGCCATTTCCTAGTTTTTTTTGCTACCTTACTCGTACTATTACGAATGAATGAATTTAAAACAAACAAATAGGCCAAATCGAGTTTAATCGTTCTCAAGTGATTTACTTGCCAACGAATAGCATTTCATTTTTATTATCTTCACTAATATAATCTATACATATAATAAAATTGTAACTAAGCCGAAGCAGTACATTAAATATTTTTTGGAAAATCTTATTGTAATAGACATTATTATCGATACAGAGGCCGAATCTGTAGTTTTTCGAATTTTTGTCTGTATGTATGTCTGTCTATTACCGCATCACAGAAAAACCACTCAAGTGATTTTGATGATATTTGGTATGATGATAGCTGGTTATCCAGGTCAACACATAGGATACTTTTTATCGCGGCAAAATGTCTCATTTCTGAGAAAAAATACAAAAATTGCAAAATAAGTACCCACTGATATGTAAAACCTAAGAATTTGGTTTTTGGTCATCTGAACGCGGGCGGAGCCGCGGGCAATGCTACTTATATTATAAAAAGGAAGATTTTCTAAGTTTCAAGTAATCTCTGAAACTACTGATCCGATAGAAAATACTTTCAATAGACGAATAATAGGAAGCTACAGCCACCAATTGTTAAGGGCTATTTTTATTATAAACATGAGTTTAGTAGCAAAAATTAAATAATTTTAATCGAAATTGACACGAAAGTGGCAATTGAATTGTTTTATTTCCAGTGACGCAGTCTAAATATGTATTTTTAAATGAAGCAATAAAATAAAGGGTAAAGACAAAGAATAAGGAATGCCCTAATGAATAGATTATGAGAAAAAAACAATTTAAAGTTTAGGAGAAATAATATTTTTATTGAGATCAAAGTATGCAGTAACTTTTTACCATGCACATTTTTGGACAATCCTCCCCTTACCGGTATGTCATGGACATTCTCAGTTGTTTTCGCTTTGGGTATAGACAAAAACGTTTTTTTAGCGACATCCGTTGCGTATTTGTAAAAACCAGTGTTTGGGAATGCAACTGCCATTGACATAAATTTGTTACCAAGCAAAAAAAAATTACATTCTCTGTTCTTTATCTGTACCCTTCAAATCTTTATTATAGAATATACCTATAAATAGAACTTTACAATCTTTCATTTTAAAATAATCTGTTTAATAATTTAAAAATGCTCAATATTAACGAGTACAATGTTAATATTAACATTTACTTAATATAATTCTAATATATTACAAAATTTTTATATAAATGTTTAAAGCAATAACATCTTCAAATATGTAATAATAAACAAAAACTATTATTTCGTTATAGCCGCGGGTCAATTTTCTCTTGGAATCGTTTAATTTAGAGGTTCGTTAGATTTGCAGTAATTAAAGAAGCTTTCGAGCCTCGTGAATATTGTAGGATAGAGTAATATTTTTTAGGAATACCTATGCTTATACTTTCATATTATTCCAAGTCAAAATATTTATAACTTATGAATTTTGATGCAACTATATAAATTATTTTTCGTGCAAAAACTTGAAATGCGATACATTTATGGTCGCAATTATGTTCCATTTGCTTAGCGTTACCACAGACCATGTAATACTTATACTAGCGTTACCTATGTAAAAAAAAACTACTTTTTGTGCTGCAAAGCTAAGCAAAGGATATTTTAAACTAAGAATTTGAAAGCACAACTAAAATATACTAAGCAATTCATGCTAATTTCTTCTTATGATACAATTATATTTTTAAGTTATATTTGATTTGTTTTAAGCAAAAACTTTTATTATTTTAAATAAACTATAATCTCACAGTTATAATAAATATTCTTATTGAATATATAAAAGCCATTCCAGCCCTATTTTCAAAATACTCTAAAATATATTTTTTTATATTAATATCACATTATGTTTGTATTGTATTATTGTATAAGTATAATTATTACCTAGCGGCCCACCTTCATTTTGCTCTCACGTACACCTCTATATCTCTTGCCAAAATTCCCTTTTCCCAGGTAGCTTATATCTTCGACTGAATCCTTCATTTCCTTAAAATATATTAAGTCATCTATATAAATAAAAATGAATCACCGAAATGTATGTACGCGCAAACTTTCGATCGACAGCACCAAATTAGATAATACTTTTTTTGTGTTTGTTATTGTTTAAATAGAAGAAAATTAAAAAAAAATATTTTTTTTACTAAAATAAGATTTTTTTTAAATCTCATGATATGAAAAGTGTGTGGGTGAAATAGTTTTTATCCCGGAAATATCTTAAGGGGGTGAGAATGGGGATGAAAGTTTGTATGGCAAAGCAAACTAGGGACGAACCCGAGCGAAACGAGGATGTGTCGCTAGTCGAAAAAAATTTTTTTTTTGTAGAAACTACATATATGTTATCATGCGCATGTAGCACTTTTTCATGTTTTATTCTGAGTTCCTCTCAGATTAACACCAAGCTTTCAGTTAATTTCCTACGTTTAATTCCGTTCGACATACTCTAGGGACCATTCCACCTATAGAACCAATTACAATAAATACTCCTTGCTCAAGCTATAAATATACATATACGCACACTATTCGTGTATATTTGCTATGAGAATATTAACCATTTAATAAATTTTAGTAAAACAATAATTAATTAAACAGATCCGCTGATTGATAAATTATTTTATGCTATATAGAACCTGAATGTTATGTGCTACTGTATGTTTGTTATTCCAGTAAATGGATTTAGATGAAATTTAGTATACAGATATAATATATGGAAATATTTCCAAATTATTATATATTTATTATTTTATTAAGTGTTTGTAAAATACCAAATATTTATTAGAACTATAGGTTTAAAACAATTTCTTAGATTTTGTTATCGTATTTTTCACATACAAGTGAATCTTATAAAAAATAAAACAATTGACTTAATCAACATTATATTTGTTAAATCGATTAAATCTTACATTTATTACATTCTTATTAAATTTTTAAAATTAAGTACACATAAATATTGCGTCAATGGTAGAGTGTCACCGTTCGGGCGCCAAAATTTCATCTTCATAATGAGCTGTACCACATTCGCTGCAACGCATTTTAAATTCCTGAAAGTAATAAGCATTAAAACGTCAATTAAATAAAGATCAATGCAATTAACAAATAAATATTTATACAAAAATTACATTGGATACCATGTTACGTATTTGTCGTAATTTGTTCATAGCTGTTTGGTACACGTGGGGATTCCAAGTACGTTCGTGGAGGGAAGTATAGTTTGTTGCCTTTGTCGATATGTATTCCAGATCCTTTAACTCCATTACACCCTTGTGCGCGTAGAATATATTATTTTGATATAATATAAACACTGTCTCTTCAGGTAAGCTTTCAGCTATAATGTCTTTAGGTAAATTCACCATATTAACATTAATTAGTCGCTGCAAGTTCACCTCCATACGACTTAATTAAGACTCCGGAAATTTTGACTTGGTAGTTTTATTATAATAAGTTGGATGTGGAGGGGGAAAGTCTTTGTTTCAACAACGCCTAACTAACTAATGAAATCCCTGGAAATCTATTGTTAACGTAATCCCTTTACAATCTCTTTAACTTAATGAATATTATTGTTACATCAATGGCGTTACTTTAAGTCCCAAATATTATACATAGTCTGGCCATAAATACTGTTACAATTAAAAATAAACAAAATATTACATTTGAATTTGGAATCTGTCAGTTTTATATGATTGTTCATTGTGTTTTCTCATTTTCGCGCCAATACATTGTAAAATATTTTATGATATTAAAATGGAGTGGGATGATAAAAAGAACCGAATTGCTGTGATTGCATTAGACAAAGTAGGTATGGAGGCAAATACAAATTTTAAAACTCTCCATACGATTGGTATTAGTCAAATGTTTGTGTATCGGGCTATTGATAGGTACAATGAAACCTCCTCTGTTTGTGATAGAAAAAGATCTGGCCGTCCACGGAGTATTCGTATGAAAAAGGCGATCAAAGCAGTAAGAGAACGAATTCGAAGAAATCCTGTCCGACAGCAAAAGAATTTATCTCGGGAGATGAAGATAGCACCTAGAACCATGTCGCGTATTTTAAAAGATGACTTAGGACTTGCAGCCTATAAGAGACGCACTGATCATTTCTTGACTGATAATTTAAAAAAGAATAGGGTGGTAAAAATAAAACAACTACTTTAGTGGTACGCAAAGAGAGGTCACAGAAATTTTTTGTTGATGAGATTTTTTTTACAATTGAGCAATATTTTAACAAACAAAATGACCGTATTTATGCCCAAAGCTCGAAGGAAGCTTCCCTATTAGTCAACAGAGTACAACGTGGACATTATCCGACTTCAGTGATGGTTTGGTGGGATGTTAGCTATGAAGGAGTGACTGAGCTATATTTTTGTGAAAAAGGTATCAAAACATCGGCACAAGTGTATCAAGATAACATTCTTGAGAAGGTAGTTAACAACACCATGTTCAATAACCAAGAATGGTCCTTTCAGCAAGACTCGACGCCGGATCATAAAACTCGATCCGCGCAATCTTGGTTAGAAAACCACGTTCCGGACTTCATCAGAGCTGACTGGCCGTCATCTAGTCCCGATATTAATTCGCTGGATTTTTATTTCTGGTCAGTTTAAAAGAATATGGCTTGCTGTAAATGACATGATAATTTGGAGTCCCTAAAACAATCCATACGATTGGCAGTGAAAGATTTTCCCATGGAAAGAGTGCATGTTTCTATTGATAACTTGCCTCAACGCTTAAAGGGCTGTATTGCAGCCAATGGAGACCACTTCGAATAAGCTTTATATATTTTTAATGGTTTTATATTAATGTATTAAACTAACACACTGTAATAGTAATAAATGTGTTACGTGCAATAGAAAAAATGTTTTTTTTTCTTTGTAACAATATTTAGGGCAAGACTATGAATATAGTGTCTTGGTTTTTCCATAAAAACAATGCAGGTAATTATAACCTAATTGTTCTTATTAGGATAGTAAACATTGTCGTTAGTAAATTAGTTAATGATGTTCAAATTCGGATATATAACATCGTCGTTTGTATGGATCTTTCATTAGTTTCTAGATAATTCAGAAGATAACATGGTAAATTTGACTCCGAATTCTCAGGTAGAACACGTTGCAGAAGCAAGAGGAAGTACACAGTCACTATTTCCTCCACGAAACCACCATAACTGGGGCTCTAGACTAGGCCGCCGCCGAAATGAATTTAAGGGAGAGCCCACAACCCTTATTCAGTTAGAGGAACGAGCACAGAAATCAGTGACACTCATGGAGAAACATGGGGCGAAATCTGAACGTAACTTTGAAATAGCTATGGATCTCCTACGTCAACAATATAACATGGTATTCAATAACTTTTATTTTTTTAAAGAAAAATTATAGTCCTAATATAAGTTTAGATTTCATATTTTCATTTTTTAAAGATTAAAGGGCTAACATAATTTTCCTCTTTTCAGAATTTCAAAATCGTCTGTGAAAAATGTAATGGCTGTCATTTGTACGACGAAATTCTAGCTCCAGAGAGATAACCGACGCAAAAGCTCCATTTAAATGTTTGCATTCGGCATGCGAATTTAATTAACTTCTATTCTGTCATTTTATGACGTTTATTATAATTATATCTTATTACTTATCAATGTACAATATATTTCTATATACTTATTTAAATTTTTTTTTTGTTTAGAAAATATTAGGAATTTATTTATTTTTTTCAGTTTTTGCTTTTTGGTAACTATGAATAAAATTAAAAACAAAAAGATAAACTAAACACTGTGTTTCTTTTTTTTATTCAACCTGTCTAGTGCCTATACTACCTTTAAAAAAATATATTTTTGTTTGGAGTTATTTCAATTTTTAAAATACAATATCATAGTAAATATTGTATTTCAAGTAAAATTACGCTTGGTAGAGTACACGTTGGTCTGCGGCCAGGTGGCGTTTGATTTTACACTCCACATATCCAAGGTCCAAGTGAACATACGACAACTCAATGTGAAACAGCGCATGTAATTTGTTATTGCGCGCAAAATTTATCGTGTAAAACCGAATACTTAAACTGAGTGTTAGCTTTAAAAGTTAAGATAAAATTAAATATGGATGTTGCTTGACCGAATTTTATAACAAAGCTCATACAACTTTCATTGTCATGATTTATGCATACCGCTAAAATGTTTCTATTAACTAAAAATAGCAATTAAAATTCATAGCCTCGCGGACTCTTTTGACCTTGGTTATTTAAATTAAGTATTTTAAATATTAACAATTTTGGCTTTAAGAGATGTAAATGTTATAAAAAAATGTAAATTATTTTAGTAAATGAAAGTCAAATATTTATGTGAATCGTACAAGTCATTGTACGATCTCCTTAAACTGGAAAATGTCTCAAATTTCAAAAACAACGGTTTTATTAAAGACCAGGGTCCCGTCACCTTCAGAAATTCTCCAATCCCTAAACTTCTAAAAAATCGATATAAACTTTATGAAAACGGACAAACACATATTCGTATTTTTCACATTAAATACAAAGGATAAAGTAAAAATTTTGCTCTTATATCAACATTTTTTGGACTTGCTTATTCAACTGTAGTACGCAGTAGGTATTATTCCTATACAATAAAACATTATAATTATACAACACTAAATGAAGCCCCTTTATTACAGCCAAAATTACTTTCAAAGTTACTTTACTTAGGTCTGTACGGGTCAGGAGCCGTCGGCGCTACTACTGAATAATTTCATTTGAAAAAAGTTTGCAATAAATCTTCATAACAACTTATAGAAGTTTATTCACAAATAGTAAAACAATGCTTCATAAAGAATTTATTGCATTTGAGCAAGGGAAGTAGTGATAAAAAACCGTCTACCCTTTTTCGTATGAACAGACTTCTAATATTCAGATCTTGTAAGATCTAGCAATGGCCTATGGCTGTTTTCAAAGTAAATATCTAATCCAAGAGTAGCAACTATGAACTAGGTTTTTTCGATTAATTACGTTATTTTGTATGAACACTCAAAGAGGGCCCAATTATGCCTTTAGACATTTTAAATATAATTATTATTTATATTAGTATGTACATATGTATAGCAATGCCTGATCCTATGTTCCCTCTTAAATTACTGAACGGCCTAACCGATTTCGATTGTTCATACGTCATTCGTTTTGTTAACGCTAGTGTCATATGGTATATAAATATCAATAAAATTAAAATGGCGGATCCTAGGGGTCAATTTGTGCCTTGAATTTTTTTTTTAATCCGAATAAGTCAAGTGGAGTATCAAAATACAGATTTTTAAGAGACGATTAGAACAACATATACAACTTATATGTTTCAAAGCAATTTAGGATAAGAAATTGTTAACTAAAACTAAAAATGTCTGACCAAAACTAAAATGCTGTAAATAAAAAAATATTTACAAAAATAAAAATCCGACTGTGTAAAAAGTGAACTAAAAAGTAGAGAACAAGTTGACGAAGGAACATAGTATTATGCAGTCAGAGACATACACACACGCAGCTATTCTAAAACATGTATATACGAGTATGTATGTCTTGGACTGCATAATACTATAAAACACTACAAACACGCTTTCGACTAACTTTAATGTATGAAACTTGTCAACGGAATCTATAAGCCCAAACTCGCCATCGAAGAGTTCTACTATCCGTCTTCTTGCTCTCAAAACTTCAGATCCGCTGGATGTTATCAAATTATTATATTATGTTCTGGATCTTAATCACTTGTAAAGATTCAAATTAATATGATAATTACCCAGTATTTTCTCTCAGAAATGAGATATTTTCCCGCGGTAAAAAGTATCCTATATGTTGACACGGATAATCAGCTATCACCATACAAAATCCCTCCAGCGGTTTTTCTGTGATGCGGTAACAGACAGACAGACAGACAGACAGACAAAAATTCTAAAAACTATATATTCGGCCTATGTATCGATAATAATGTCTATGTCAATAAGATTTTCCAAAAAATATTTAATGTACAGATTCGGCTTAAGTTACAATTTTATTATATGTATAGATTATATTGGAATTATTCTTTTTTCTTAATATTTTGATAATATAAATAATGACCTATATACGAAAATATGTATAAACAAACTAAATCATACAATTTATTACTATAGTCAATAGGTAACACTATCTAGTCTAATATAACATTTAACATATAAATTTTTTTATAGTCGTTGGCCTACTTTTGACTCACAATACTCGCAACGAGAAAGAAACCCACTGTAGCGAATTGCTTATAACGTGCTTTTGTTTCCATAATTAATGATGCTGAAACAACTTAATTACAAATTTATCAATGTAATTAATTTTAATTAATATTTGTTGACTTAAGGATACATAAACAATCAAAATTGTTTTACATAATGTGAAAATATGTAAATTATTGTACATATCTATATATTGTGCTTCCCGCGGCATAAAATATGTAATTATATCAAAACTGTGCAAGCATAATACGGAATAAGTATAAGGTAAATTACTTATGAACTACTACTACTACAGCGAAAAATATACCTAAACTTTTTTAAACATCAGTACTTTTATAATGGATAGGTGTCTGTAAATAAGGCACAACAGATTTTCTTCGTGTTACCATTTTCGTCTTAGATTCTTCGAGTATTAAAAAATTCATTGCTCTCTCTTCCAACGAAAATTAACGTGGATATTTAATGCAATTTGAATTTCTGGGAAAATTGAATTTTCGACGATGAGTTTCTATTAATATATAATAGTGATTACTATTTCTTTACTAGAGATACTGAATTTTTTAATGGTTAAAAAAAATAACAATTTGAACTTTTCAAATTGAAATTTTAATACTTAAAAATTAATGAATAATTTATTTTTTGCCATATTTAGATTCCTCGTAAAATTTCCTAAATTTTACAATTGAAAAAACATTTTTACCTGGTATATTTCGGCAGTTATACATAGCATACTTTTATTTTAAAATCCTACGCCATTGTATTGAGTCTCCAAAATTAAAGATTAAATTTTTCAAGCAATTCAAAAAACACTTAATTGTCTATTACCTACGATTTTTCAAAATTCACGCTCATCTCTTAAACTTAAAACCTCGGTTAATTCGGTTAATTTGAACCGGAGGAAAAAAGCCATGAAACCTTTTATATGTAATATTTTAAGCTCTACACATTTTTATTAAAACTTTTTTGTCTAATTTTTACCGTTTTCGAGTAATTGCGAAAAAACACTTTTGACAATATTTTTTTTTTCAACCCTTGCAGGGGGTTGCAGACACGAAAGCCTTTACACATTGTTTTTGTATCATTCAAACTACATTATATCAAAAATGCAAAGTTGAGTGCCAAAATTTTGATTTCAAATCTTATTTGACTGGACTACTTAATAAATAAGAGACACAAATCATAAAGACTGCAGAGACTTATAAAAATAAATATTTTTTTCTTTAAATATAAGCTACCTGTACGTGTATAGTCTACTAGCTAATGATTATATGAAATAAGTATAATATTTTTGAAGTTATACTTCTTTTGGGATGTTTGGAAAAATATGAGAGTAAAATTTTTACGATGCGCGCGCACACCGACAGCCAAAAAGCGAAATAATGAAGTTAGCTGATAACTGTTGCCATGGTAGCCGTTGTTATTGTCTGTCAAATGACATATAATATTATATTCTTTCCTTAAATGATATTCTATAATAATTGTAATATGCCTTATGTAATTATTTTTGTTATGTTACGCCAAAGAAGTATAACTCCTTACGTACATAAGTACACACTACAAATACACACTTTTTTTTATTCCCTTGAATACTGAATGAGACAAACTTACATCTAGAACAAAAGCTGTAATATAATAGAATTTTGGGGACGTCATTAGTAGTGTCAGGAAGAAAACAAAAGATCCCATCTTAACACCCGCCTATTATCATGACTCATAACGAGTCAACTTTTCGTCATTTACAAGGAGCTTTCTTTTATGAGGAACAAGTGTCTTGTTAGAAATATCTATTTTTGGCTTAAGTTGGTAATAGTTACAATGTTATTTTTAAAGCGCATATTTTTTGCTTATAGTATATTAAAAATATAATTTTAAACCTGAGTTAAATTAACGAATCGAAAGAGGTTATATTAAAACAATTTTACTCTTCAAAAGGAAAAGTACAACTAAAATTCCTTAATTTGTATTTTTAAGTATTATGTTCATTAAGCATTAACACAAACGTTCTACACTAGGGTAGGTATCATGTAAAGGTCAGATGCTTGATTTGCAAAAGGGACCAGTCGACCCTCGAACTTTCTATCGTTAATTTATTTTCATGTAGTTTTAAATTAATTAACATTCATTAAAATATTGTTATTGTGTTATGCGATCTCACAAAAACTTAAAGATTCTACAATAAACGTTCTTTAAGTATTCTTCTGAGCAGGATTTCCAAAATGAGGAAGTCATAATAACACACTTTAATATTATAATCGTTACAAAATAACATATCTATATAGATGTACCTATGTAATATTTTTTACATGTATGTATTCAGCCCTTTTTAACGTCCCACTGCTCGGCCTCCCTTCAATGCGAGGGGGATCAGGCCATAGTCCACGCTGGCCACGTGCGGGTTGGCGGACTTCACACGTCTTTCAAAAACTTGCGAGGTTCTCTCAGACATGCAGGTTTCCTCACGATGTTTTCCTTCACCGTTAAGACAAGTGGTAATCACGTTAGAAATGATTTGCACATGAAAATATCAGAGGTGCAAGACCCGGGATTTGAACTCGGTTCACTCGGTTTCCCAAGCGAGCGCGCTACCACTGGGCTACCACTGCCTATTTTTTATATAAATAATATTATTTCAAGATTTGATATACCAAGCTTGTTAGTAACTAGTGGAATTTTAAGACAGTGTGAGTACCGATAGGGGTTTACTTGCACATTACGCTAAGTATTCACAAACTTAGAATCATTGACATACATAGTCTACAAAGGTCGAGCTT